AATATTTTAATCTCTGTATTGAGCATGGATATCCTGCTAACTTTCTTTGTAATTATATTTATAATGGCTTTTAATGATACAATTTGTATTACTGTAATTATTTACTATTATTATGTTTTGTAATGATTTTTTAAATTTCTACAATATCTAATTTATTCTACAATTATTAAATAGATGGCGCCACATGCTTATTAAATTTTAATAATATTATATTTTTTGCGTTGGTTTTATATTTTACACTAATTTTTATATGAATATTATTTTTATGATTTTTTTAAAAGTATATATATATATATATATATATAAATTTCCTAATGTCCTATAGCAATTAATTTTATGCGGTTCTGCTCTCACTCCTTTGTATTTGGTGGGAACACATTACTTGTTGATGCACTCCCGACCTACGTCTACACTCCGAATAAAAGTAGGCTATGTTTTTGTTCATACGTTATTTAGTTTAATTATTTTTTAATATTTAAATTCCTCATGTATAATTCTTTCCTTTCTTGTTGGTACATAGTATGACAAATTGCAGGTGAAGGCTGGTTGGCCGCAAAACATGTTTAAACCTGAAATCCTGGTTCCTAAGGCCAGGAGTTGGTCATTATACTACTGTGCCTTCTTCCTAAATTTAGTTATCTTAGGTTTATAACTATCTGTTTATTTTTATATTTTCGTTTATATATTTATGTATATGTATATATGTGTAAAAATTTATATATATGTGTATATATATTTATTTATATATTAGATTATATATATATATAGGAGAGAGTGAACTAATATAGTAAAAACTGAAGACAGAGCATGATTTGCCTGTATTGTTCTAACAATGCGCCCCCGTTTTGGCAAGTTTAGCTGAAAAATCTGTTTTTGACGCCAACTTTTGCCATTGTTTTAACAGTTACATTGTTATAACAATAGAGACGAATCTAAGTTGGCGACAAAAACCGGTAATTAATTAATCTTAATTTAATTAATGAATTAATATTAGAAAAACGGTAATAACATCAAGTGTCATCCGCTACAAGTTTTAACAAAAATTATTTGAACTTGATTCGATGAACAGAAAGTATTTTATTAAAAATTGAAAATTTGAACAAAAATATATATATAATAAAGAGAGAGTGAGCTAATAGTAGGAATTTAAAAACAACAACATTTGAATAAAATAGCATTCGACCAACAATAAGAAAAGAACCATTTCCTTCTGTTTTTAACATTAATGTCATTAAAAAATAATGGGAATATGTACATGTAATTTATTAAAGAAAGGTTTTTTTTCTCTCATTTTACTTATTCTTTTTACCACAGAAGCAACCAGTTTCACTGAAAATTGTTAAGTGGAGTATATTTTTACTACAATTTCTTCAAGACTAAACTTTCCTGTTTTATGATTTTTATCCCTCATAAGACGTCTTTAAGACTTTTGGATAAAAACTCTGCTTCCTGCAGTTCTTTGATTGATATATTTATGAACGTCGTGCACTGAAGAAACACGAGGGCTGTGGGCGGTGGACCCCTTAAAGTGAAGAGAACTACGGCAATGCTGGAATCACAATCTTCCACTCCACTCCAATGCGAGGAAGTTTTTTTATTATTTCTACTGGGCTGCAAATGGGTCAATAATCATTGAAGACCTAGTACATCCTCCGGAAGCTGGTATCACTTTTTAGTTCGGCGCCCTATAGGCGGATACCAATCACCGCAGGGAATTTTGACGCCCAGTTTCCTCTCCAGAAGGAGGCACCTGAGGTCTGATGATGCGAACCTGCACCTGGATTTAATTTTGCAAAAAACTTCCAAGCCAAACAGACACTCTAGGTGTCTTTTACAGGCCATATAAATCATACGACATGATCGCTGTAGATTTTCTGCATCATGAAAATCCATCGACTTGGGCCGGGGTCAAACCCGCAACCTTTTGTACAGAAAGCCAGCGACAAACCGACCACGCCACCCAGCCGACATGTGAGGAAATTAATCCTGGACAAATTTAACGTGCATCAATTACATTTTTAAAGGCACCAGTACAGAAATATCTAAGGTGTCCCAACCACACGATTGCAGAGACCCTATTGTTTGCTACAAATAATTATGATTAAGCATCTATTGGCGACTTATATTTCGTATTTGTGTAACTTTACTTCCAAATTGTTGTAAATCCTCGTGATTTAAGTGGCGTAAGGGTTTGGAGAGGGGCTCAGGCGTCGTTACGGTCCTTTGCTGTTCAAATGTCCAGTGGCCAATAACCCTCATGATGCTGCAATGTTCATGCCCGAGGGCCACGAATGGTCCACTGAAGACATTTTAGTAGGTCCTCATTTTAATTTGAGGCAATTTCAAATGAAATTGCCTTGTCTGCTTTTTATCGTAAGCAACACCCCTTTTTCTGGTATTTTTGATGTTTAAAAATTTTCATTGGTGTGCTTTGTATCCATTTGAGTTTAAAAAAATTTAGAAAATGTATTTTTCAAAAATTCCGCTGTATTTTAAAAAATTTTAAAATATAAAAATCTGACTGTGCTTAAAATCTTAGGTTAACGGGTTGCAAAATATTTTAATTCACCCTGCATTAAACTTTTTTGAAAATGATATATATGCAAATCTGTATATATAAACACCATCTCTTTCCTTAAAATCAATTGTAGTTTTATAAAACAAGCCTACTTTTTTACAGAAATTTCCAGACTACAATATTTTTGTAACAATCGTGTAGCCCTCGGATCACTGCGAATGATTGATTTGACCCACGGAGGATTATTTTAAATTTACTAATTTGGCCCTCGAGTGTGAAAGGTCAAACACCCTTACTTTAGTGTGTCATTATATCATCATCATCCTTATATATCTATTTAACGTGATATGGTACAGTATTTATATCGTCATAAGTTTCACAAGCAAGATGGCATCTAAAACAAAACTCACGGAAGTCTTGGACTGATGTCCGTATTCTTCGAAAGCTCTCCGCATCTGAAATCGTTTCGGAAAGTCTCGACCCTTCTACTGTATCAGGCCAATCCAATGGATGCGGTGGAGGAGGCTGTATTGCAGCTGCCCCTTAACATTTGGGGAGTTTTCAGATATATATGGTTACCGCGCGCGCGCTCAGGAAGCCAACTGCCTGCAAATCTTGAATTTTTCTTCAAAACGCGAAAAAAAATGGTGAGAGTTTAATTGTGTAGACAAATTTATTTAAGTTTATAAAAAATACCAATTTGTTTTTTTGTTACGTTTACTAGTTCTAGAAATAGCGGATTTTCTTCAATGTGTAGTTTACCGACTTTAATTCCATCTTACGTAAAATACGTTTTTTCGGAATGTGAGCGAGTGAATATTAACGTCGCACTGTTCAGCTACACGGGGGCTTTTGGTGACGGACCACGTAATTTTGAACCATGGTCAAGTGACGTGGACGGCACCTGAACTGGCCCCCTATCCTAACTACACCACCACACCAACGGGAGGATGTTTGAGCTCTCGAAAGGTTTATCGTGCATCGCTGCCCTACCTGGCGGGTCTTGAGTGGTACTGGGCTCGAACTCGTGACAAGGTCAGCCACGATCCGATACCTTGATCACTGGGTTACCGCAACCGACCCCATATGTTTTTGGAAAATTCGAAACGCGAAAGCAGAGATTGTTACAGGAATTTATAAAAATAATTTTTTTAGAATATTTAGTGTAATATTAAAATTTATTCAAAATACTTTTTTTTTAATAATCAGGGTATTATTATAAAATGTGTAACCATTTTAAATAAACATAACGTGCTTTTTTGAACGATATTGCAAACAATAATTAATGTTAACTGTGTGTGTGTTCCTTTTTTTAACAATCTTAAAATTGTTATTTTTAGGTCGCTTAAAAATAAATAGTAATGTAAAAAAAAGAAATTAGAAAATTCGTTCTTAAATATTTTGCTCAGAGTGGCAGGTCACATTTATGTTATTTTTTTTTTATAAATTTTCACTTTTTTTTCCCATTTGGATATTATATAATATTTTTTTTTCTGTTTAGAATTTTTTTTCCATGCACTTTCTAAACAAATCTGGAAATTTGCAAAAATCCTCACAACTCAATTTTAAAAAAAATCTTTCGCAAATAGTTTCGAATACCTTTATTTAATTTATTACTTCCGATAATTAATAAGAAAGTTTTGCATAGTTTTGAAGCATCTAGCACAAAAGCAATCAGGTGGCAAGAAATCTCTATGTAATTAACGTAGTGGTCTAGCGCTCAGGACCGGAAGCATTGCCTGGCGATATTTAATCTAAGTTCAAGTAGAGGAATGGCTGATGCATGTTAAATTTGTTGAGGTTTTAAGTCTTCGCTTTGGCGTGGTTAGGAAGTATAGAGAGTGCCAGCTTAAATGCCATCTTCGTTTATCGACTAAAGTTCAAAATTACGATATCCGTCTTCACTAACCCATCAGGAAATGGTGGCGTTAGCTGGAGATGAGTGTTGTTTTTGATACACTTGTAAGATTGCTGGAATGATATTATTTACTCTCTCTCTCTCTATATATATATATATGTTCTATTTTATTCTTATAATTATTATTCTTTAATTTGTACATTTGTATTGTGTGGTTGTGTATGTGTATTGTGAATTAACCTTTGATTTGTAATTATGTACGAATGAAGTGAATCTATATTTTTTTGTATTATGTGGTTTTACATACATATTGTGAGTTTGCCTAAGGTTTGTGAGCTGTGTACTTCTATGAAAATGTAAAGTAAAATCTTTTTTCAATTCCTAATATTAGCTCTCTCTCTCTCTCTCTATATATATATATGCTTAAATTTGAAATCGTTAGTAAAATACTTTCTATTCATCCATTAAAGTTTAAATACCTTTTTTAAACTTGTAGTGGATGACACTTGATGTTCATATAATTTATTATAATATTAATTCATTCATTAACTTAAAAAGTGAATTATAGTAACAAACAAAAATAATAGTCCAACAGCATATACAAGAAGGGAAATTGCTCGTTGTGTCCCTGTAATGCAATGGATAGCCTGTTAGACTTCTAATCCAAAGGTCGTGGGTTCAAATTCCACCTGGGATAGCTAAATTTCTGTGAATGCGATTTCTTTTTTACTCTACTATTTTTGAATAATTATATTTAATGAATGAATAAATAGTAACAAGCAAAAAATAGTCCAACGCCCTATATAGAAAGGAAAATCGCTTTCTTTTTTGTCAATATTGTGATTGTGTCCTATGTATATACAAATTTATATTAATTGTAACTATTTATTAAAAAAGTAACTAAAATAAAATTTTTCTTCATTAACATAAGTTGGAATTGGCTTAATTTTTTTTATATTACTTGTGTTCAATAAAAACCGAACGTGGGGTGGGGTGGTTGTTACTCGGGAAATCTAAACCTTTTTCCTTTTTCGGAAAATTGTAATAATTATAAATAATCATTAATCAAACATATTAAGCATCATAAATCTAATTTAAAGCTAAAGTACAAACAGAAGTATCACAAAGCATGCATGATAATATAGTCACTATTATAAATATTTAGGAGCCCGATAAATTGTTCACCAATAACCTACTGATAGCGAGTTCATAATCAAAAGGTAATGGGCTTGTGACTTATAATTTTGAGACGAAGGCTTTAGCACAGAAAAGGCTCGCGCACGTTAAAATATGTCACGGTTTAAAATCCTCTTGTATGTTTCGCGTAATCAAGTGTAACGAGGGATCATGTGAGGATTTCGTACGGAAATCGGCTTAATTCATCGGATGCATCTACATGTCTCAACTAAATGAAGCTTCTATTTAAGAGGGTAACACTATGCACTTAAATAAGTTGATGTGTGTGGGAGACGGGGGAATTCATTTAGACTTCCCGCTTCGTTTTTAACATCACGCACTTAATAACTGAAGGACAACATGTTCTAACTACGCTGCTAAAAAAATAGGGTAGCAAACAAAAAAGTAAAGCTAAGACTGCCACCACACACCTATTTAGTCTGGTTGCGATGAGGTTATCGATGAGACTTCGAGGAACACTGATCCCCTCTTCAAGGAGTGCAACTTCTCGCGGACAGTAAGCGAAGGAAGTGATCTTGTGTGTGTGTGCTGAATGCGTAGTCCAAGTAAGTTTTATGTATGCTGGACAAGGTTACGGTCAAGAGCACATGCTGCTCACTCTATATGCTGTATTGTTTCCACTTCAAATGAGTTCTCTACAAAACGAACTGTTTAAGATTTGGCATTATCCTGCATTAATAGATAGGGATCTCCAATGGCTACAGCGTAAGGTATGAAATAGGATTTTAGGATCTCGTTTGCAAACCTTCGAGTCTTCAAATTACCATTCCGAATGATATGCAGGCCAGTACTTCCACCTGTGTGGATTCCGCCCATACTATCAAACCACCTACTCTGTAATGGCATTTTTCCTGAATGAATATAGGTTCCTTTCGAGTGCCCTTTTCTAGCCACACCAAAACATATAGATATGGTGAGTGGCCGAATTATTGTGACACTTTTACGGAGATCGGCCACAACTTTACTCTGTTGCTACTTGAGGACGAAATCGCTGCTAATGCGGTATGCGGAAATAAACGTTGATCACATTGTGTTAAGAAATGAGGGAAAAATTAATGTAGCAGAGTCTGAAAGAGGGATTGAATGCGCTCTAAGCATCTCGGAGCCAGTATCAGAGCAAAGCGGCCGCCCTCATGAAGTGTTCGAGAGCAGCTCTTTTTAATGCTTGTAGAGAGTGCATTTAAAAGCTAAAAACCGTATTTCCAGGTCAGGCTTGTGGTCCTCACGGTCTACTGAAATTTAGTTCCAAAATAAGAATTACGAAATTTGTCCATTCCAACTGAAGAACAGCCATACTTCAAATTGCAAGAAATTTTAGTCAAGGAGCAACTGCGAACGTCTGATCGAAATGTTCGTCGAACACTACACCGTATTGGCCAGGGGTGGTGAAACACTATGGATCAAGAGCTGCGGTAGCCCAGTGGTCAAGGTATCAGTCATGGCAGGCATGCCATGAGTTCGAGCCCAGTACCACTAAAGACCCGCTGTGTTGGGTCTGTTGGGTTGAATCTGTCAAGAGCTGAAACGTCCTCCCGTTAGTGTGGTGTGCTGGTTAGGAGAGGGGGTGCCAGCTCAGATGTCGTCCACGTCACTTGACCATGGTTCAAAATGACGAGTTCCGTCGCCAAAAACCTTCGTGTAGTTGAACAGTGCGATGTTAATATTCACTCACTCACCCACTATAGATCAACATGCCATTTTTTTCTAAAGAAATGTTTAATGAGGTATAGACGTGCCGTCAAATAATTTTGACTTGTGATTATTGAGAAAATAATAAAAAATTAAATATTAACAACTAAAAAAAACTCTTCATTTATTTTTAAAAATACATTTTGCACTTTATAGTACATTAAAGTAGTAAATTAAAGTAACATTAATGTGATTTCGGCCGCTGCTGATTAGATGAAAAATAACTTATATTATAATCGTAAGGTGTCACTTTTAGCAAACCGCATGATGAAATGGAGTCATCTTCCAAAGCCTCTACTGCTCGCCTTGAACACGGACAGACCTCTCCAGTTCGCAAAGGAGCACAAAAATTAGATTGCAGATGATTAGAAAAGGAACATGTGACTCGCTGAATCTCATTTTCAATTATACTATGTAGATGGCGATGTGTGAATGTAGCGAAAACAAAATAAAAGTACGACCCCCACCTGCATTGCCATAATTTTTCAAGCTAGTGGAGGCAATGTAAAAGTTGGGGGGGGGCTTTGATTAGTGTGGAAGAGCGTCTGAATGACCAAGTGTATATAATTGTTACCGCAGATCAAGTACCGTAAAATCCGGTTTATAACACGTACCCATACTTTCAAGCTGCAATTTTTAATTTTTAGGTATATTCGCCGTATAACGCGAACCCTTTTTTTACGAAGAAATCTGAAATGGACGAGCGTAATACTCTTAAGTGTTTTGAAGTCATTTATTCGAAGAACTTAAGAAAAATTACTATACTTCTAGAACTACACTTTGTTAAGCTCATAAGGTATGTCATTTTTTTAGATAAGCAGCATTTCTATATATGTAGAAGTTTTTTTTCTATGCTCATCTTTTTATTTTTAAAAGCTCTCATTTTTATACCCGACGTACAACCCGTAAATTTCGATCTTATTTTTTGTGTTAAAAATGAACGTTATACGCCGGATCTTACGGTACATCCTTTTATATTAATAAAGTACACTGTCATAGTTAGATTCATTCAGCAATAGAATGCTCCCTGTTACATAACTGTCATTGTTCCCAGATGGTTCAAAGAGCACGACAGAAACTTGACCTTGCTTAGTTGGCCTACACAGAATCTGGGGGATGAGATCTAACGGGGCATCTGAAAGCTTCTTCGAGTACCCTCCAATCTGAAGGCATTAGAAATTACAATACATCAGATAGAGTCTCAAATTCCTCATACCACCTACCAACAACTTATAGAGGTCATATCAAGAACAATCCATGCAGTATTCAGGGCAACAGGTGGTATGTAATGTTGTATCGAAGGGGTGGTCATAATAATTTGGCCACACATTGTATATATACATACATGTATGTGTGAAATGTGACAAAACTATAATTTTTTACATATTTATCTAAATTATAATTACGAATGTCCCATTTCAAAACGCATTTCATTTCTCATATAAGGATTTTTGACAGCCTTATTCGCGATTCCCAGTGAACGAATATATACGTGCCTTACTGAGCAGTTGAATGTTTTCCCTCAAAATTTTTTTTCCATAATTTCTAAAAATAACTAATATTTCTCTTCACCTGAATACGTGACTATATTTTCCCTTATGTTTATATGTAGAAAAAGGATTATTCTCGCTCTTGGGTTTTGGCTTTTGAGAGGAATTTTTTTTCGTTATATGAACTTACAGCGAAAGGTTTCACAAAGGGGCACTCTCTCCTATGACTAAATGACGTAAATGAACAAAGATTGAATGCATTCTATAAGTGTCATTATCACATCGTAATTACATCTACATGGGGACTCAATACAAATAATATATCCTCTCTTGAAGTTCCTCTAACCTCTCTTTTGGAGTACTAAGAGAGGAAACTTATAAAGAAAAATTAAAGATGAAGTTCCCTTCAATTATTAAATATTTGGATGTATTCTGGGAAATGAACGTGGATTGGAAGGGGGGGGGATGAAATCGATAAAATAAAATAATACATGTTATGAAATAGTACCATTTTAGTTGAAATAATTTCCACACAAAGTGTTTTACGTAAGTAGCTTTTAATATTTTGACGCATAAAACAAGAAAAGAATTTCACATCGCATTAAAAAAACCGACATGTTTAGGGACTACTTCTAATTGAATCTCTTAATAAATATGTCTTACACAACTCCACCCCCATGCCTATATAAATATTGATTTTTTTTATTAATGGCAGATTACGAACAGTTATAAAGAGAGTTCATCCATCTACCTAGAACATTCACTGAAAGCAGGTCTCTCTTTTCAGTGCGGCGCCCTATAGGCGGATACCAATCACCGCAGGTATTTTTGACGCCCAGTTTCCTCCCTAGAGGGAGGCACCTGAGCTCTGACGATGTGAACCTGTACTAGGATTTAATTTTGCCTAGAGCACCCCCTAGGGATCTTTTACATATCCACTATCAATTTTCTGCAACATGAAAATCCATCGACTAGGGCTGGGGTCGAAGCCACAACCTTAGGTATAGAATGCCAGCGACAAAGCAATCACGCACCCCCCCCAGCCGGCTTATTGAAACACTTCTCTCTCAGAAAAGTGGTTATGGTAATGAACTCGTAGCTGGCGTTCAGTTTTGGTGCCATTGAAGATCCACCATGTAAAAGGTCTGATGCACGTTAAATCTTTCGAGCTCAAGTTTCTCCCATTGGCGTGGTATGGAAGTTAGGAAAAGAAGGGGGTGCCAGCTCAGGCCAATTGCCCTCGTGTAGTTTTATAGTGCAACTCTCTCTTAGAATTATTTTACTGAAATCCAAGACAACTTTAATGGAGAGCTCTGGAAAG